CTCCCGGGGTCTATGTTTCCCCCCCCTCTTCTCTAAAAAGACCGTTTTTTTTTTTTTTTTTTTTGCCCCCCTTTTTTCCCAAAGCCCCATTTTCTTAATTCTTTTATAAACTCCCCAATTTTTTCCCTAACCTTTTCCTAAAAATTTCCCGAAGGGGGGGAGGGGATAAAACCCAAAAATTTTCCAAAGTGTTTTTGGAATTAAAAAAAAATTTTTTGGGGGTGGTGTCTGGAGTGTGGATTTTCACGGATTTTTTTGCAAACTTGAATGCTACCTCAGGAAAAAAAATCATTAAACATTTTCTGATTGGTTTAGGAAAAGAACAACAGACAGATTTTTTTTATAATTGTTTTGAAAACCCCCGCAAAAAAAAAAAAAAATTTCCCGGGGGGGAAAGGGGGGTTTTTTTTAAAAAAAAAAGATCCCAAAAAATCCAATATGGCCTCTGTATCCATGGAAACGAAACTTTTTTTCAAATTTGATTGCAGATTTTAAGATTCTCTTCAAACTTACTTGTTATATGTATGAAATTTGATAAAATTGGGTCCATAAATAGAGAAAGTTCCCTCAAGGGGGGGCCCCCCCCCCCCCCCCCCCCCCCCCGAATAAGCTCACTCGTTTTGAAAGGATAAAAAATCAACAACTTTTAGAATTACTTATTATATTTATTCAATGCCTTTAGAAAGCAACTATTACACAACTGAGTTTATATATAAGAATACTATGTATTAAAAAGATAATGTTTTCTTCAACATCCATGTCAATCTCCACATGAAAAAAGACATTGTAGCAAATGAGAGGAGACCCTCGTTGACAGGTGGCCCGAGTTTCCAATCTATATATTATGGCACTAACGATGTAATCATGATAATAACATACTAGGCGCATACCGAAAGTTTTTTACCTGACCATGAAGGAATAAAGGTAGAAAGCTGAAATTTGGAGTGAAAGCCAACACCCATCCTCCTAGAATGCTTGTACATTTTGTGGAATTTCATATTACTGGCTTTACCACCAGCGCACTGTTAGTGAATGGGAGTATGTTGTTCACCAGTTTCAACATAAAAATTGAGAATGTTGAGCGCAGGGCAGTAATGAAGTATTTGTTCTTGCAAGGCAAGCAACTACAGGATATTTTTACGGAGATGCATGCCATTTATGGAACTGATTGCACATGATGAGGTCAAAGAAGCGGTAGAAGGCTGGTTTTCTAACATAGAGAGGGTCCTCTATTCTCAAGGTCTTTTCAAGGTTATATACTGATGGCAAACATGTATAACTCTGGGAGGCGACTACATAACGAAACACTAAGTTTAGTACCAAATTTCAGCTTGCTACCTTTATTCCTTCATTTGTCAGGTATAAAACTTTTGGTATGCCCCTCGTATTACTCATGTGTTGGACAAAAAAAATGCCTGTCGGCCGATTAGTGGTTCTCTCTCTCTCACACTCTCTCTCTCTCTCTCTCTCTCTCTCTATATATATATATATATATATATATATATATATATATATATATATATATATATATATATAAATTAAAATTATACAACCCAAACTATTCAAATACATATAGCCGTTTATTACGTTACTCCAACTTCAAGTTATATCCAGAAACCCTGGACACAGATTGAAGGACTTTAGTTTCCTCAGAAAGTATCGCCTCAGGTTAACTTTTTATCGATATTGTTTACGTGATTTTTGCCATGTAAATTTGTTGTCGATTGTAAGACCATGATATTTGTATGAATCCGTGGTTTTATTTTTGTTTTTTGTTCAAATACGGTGGTGGGGTTGTTGGTTTTTCTCTTCTAAAAAAAATTATTTCCTTTGTCTTTGCGAGGTTCACGTTTAGAAAATTTGAATTATACCATTTAAAAAACATACATATTTCTTCGAAATACTCTTTTTCATCAAGGTTTATTAATCCGATAATAGCGGAGTCATCTGCAAACTTAATTGAGCATGCCGTTGTATATTTACTTGTATAATCGTTGGTATAATATATTGTATACAAAACTGGTGACACAACGCACCCCTGAGGACCGCCAGTATAACAAAGGATTGTGTCAGATTTTGTGTTGCTCAGCTTAACATATTATTGTGGTCTGCCTGTCAAAAGTTCCAGGACCCACACTGCGATATTATGACTAACTCTCAGACTCAGAAGTATTTCTCTTGTCTGTCTGTCTGTCTGTCTGTCTGTCTGTCTGTCTGTCTGTCTGTCTGTCTGTCTGTCTGTCTGTCTGTCTCTCTCTCTCTCTCTCTCTCTCTCTCTCTCTCTCTCTCTCTCTCTCTCTCTGGGTGTATGTGTGTTTATATAATATGTCTGTCTGTCTGTCTGTCTGTCTGTCTGGGCGTTTGTCTGTCTGTCTCTTCTTTTTCTCCTGTCTGTCTGCCTGTCTATCTCCATCTCACTCTCTCTTTTTTATATATTACGGCGCTCGCAACTGCATAAGGTCATATTATGAGCGCCAGAAGATTAGAGGTGTTACAAGAG